GGGCTACTAGTTCATATGATGAAAGTGGAGGGAGCTTGGCTTTTGTGATCCGCTCCTCCGACTGAACTTCTTCTTCGGGGTCCACCTCCTCAATCTCTTGATCATTCTTTTCTACCTCCTTCAATGTCGCCCCACTTCTCAACATGATGGCATTCACATGTTGTCTCGGGTTTTGCTCCATTTGAGATGGAAGTGTACCCGAGTCCTTCGCTTCAAGTCGGTTCACGGCATTTGCAATTTGGTTAACTTGCGTTTCCAAATTGTTAATGCTTGACTTTGTCTCATGTTGAAATTGTATCATGGTTTGTTGAAATTGTCCCATGTTTTGTTGCATGGTAACCATGTTTGAGGTCAAAGTTCAGATCATGTCATCAGTTGACATAATAGATTGAGAAGATGGATTGGATTGTTGAGGGTATCCATACCTCAAGTTTGGATGATTCCTCAATCCAGGGTTGTAAGAGTTTGAGAATGGATCATACCTTCTTTGTTGATGTCCTTGGAAGCCCAAAACGTTGACTTGCTCTTCGTGGAGTGATGGACACGAATCAGTGGGGTGTCCAGTTGATGTGCAAATGCCACAAGCTTTGACCTCCTGAATGTTTGGCTTTAGAAGGAGCTCTTTTACTAAAGAAGTCAAGTCGGCAACTTGACTTTCCAACGAGGTGTTGGATTCTGCTGCGGCAACCCTTCGGGTTGAGGACCGCCCATGGTAATGCCTAGAGTTCTCGACCAACTCCGAGATTAGATTCCTTGCTTGAAAAGAGGTTTTGTTAACAATCCCCCCCTCCACATGTCGCATTCACCATGCGCCTATCTTGATCCGCAAGACCATCATAAAAATAGAGGATGAGGTCTTGCTCGGTGTATCCATGATATGGGCAACTAGCACACAACTTCTTGAAACGCTCCCAATATTCATACAATGTTTCATCTTCTTTTTGTTCAATGTTGTTTATTTGTTTTTTCAAAAAAGATGAAATGGAGGCGGGATAGTACCTATCTAAGATGCATTTTTTCATTGCCACCCATGTGTCGATACTTCCTGAGGGAAGATAGAAAAGCCAATCTTTTGCGGTGTCCTTGAGTGAGAATGGAAAAGCCCGCAGCTTGATCTGTCCTCTGTCACACCGTCTGGACACATGCTTGTGCAAACGATGTGAAACTCCGAGAGGTGTTTATTTGGATCTTCTCCTCTTAGGCCATGGAAGGATGACAGTAGATGAACAAGCCCAGATTTTAGCTCAAAAGTATTATCCTCATCAAGTGTAGGGAAGGTAATACACAACAGTTGTTGGTTCAAATTAGGAGCCGTGAGCTCCCTCAACGTTCTTGTCTCAAGAGCCATAATTATTGGCTTTTCGGTCTCGCTAGAATGAGAACTAGCGTTGCATGAATCTCCGGTAGATGATTCCTCCGAGTCGGTATTAGTAAATTTACTTTTCAACCGCTCGAAAGTTTGTTCTATTTCCAGGTTTGTGTGATATGTGATTTCGTTTATGGAACGGTGTTTAACCATATACTTCACCAAACTCAGAAATAGAAAAAGTAAGAACTCTTTATATTTTATTTATTATTTTTTTTTTCTTCAATTAAAATAAAAGAAAAATAATTGCCTTTCCCCGGCAACGACGCCAAATTTGACGTGCACTTTGTCGTGGTGTGCACTCAAAATAATTATTACAATACAACACTAATACGTAGTATAGTGAAGTAAGGTTCGTATCCACAAGGAAAAGAATACTTTTCTTTTTTAATTAAATACTAGTAACAATTGGGGGCTTTTGATTGTTGTTGAACTTGAAGTATATTTAAACACTAAGTTGAACGACTTATGTGGTTTAATTAATTAGAGATGAAGACTTGATTTTGCTTTTATCCACTTAATGAAATGTTCGTCGATCCCGGTTATATCTTTAACTATCTTCCTCTCGAATACTCAATCGAAGAGTATCTCCATTTTATCCACTTAATGAAGACTTGATTTTGCTTTTATCCACTTAATAAAACTTACTACCGAGTCAATATAGAACACGCGCCGTACATTAACCCGATAGTACCAATAAACTTAAGATGAAAACGATTGAGATTGATAACCTCAACACAAGCGGTTTATTGGTTTAATCAATATAATTAATTCCCCTTAGATTATTAACCATGAGACGCATGCATTAATAATTTAAGTTTACTACCGTTGAAAGAACCGAATTAATAACAAGCGTATTAATCGATTGATTCTAGTAATAATTAATATATGAAACAAAACTAGTTGATCCTTTAAGTAATGCTCAAAATATTAATATGAAATATGAATATGAATTAATTAATATTCAAGGAAAAAATATTATTAAAGAATATGAATCCTACTATAATTAATGTCAAGATGTTAACAAATTGTCATCTTAGCAACACTCTCCAACATTAATATAGAGGATGAAAATATTACTATAACTAATGTCAAGATGTTAACTAATTGTCATCTTAGCAACACTCCCCAACATTAATATATAGATAGTATTAAAGGAAAGAACTAATAATTAATATTTAAGGAAGAAAATTAAAGAAAATAACTCACAACTTACAATTCATTAAGCTTCAAAGTAGCAAAACCAAGATGGAGAGTTTAGCTGCTCATTTGGAGACTAAACATGATAAAAAATATAAAGAAAGAACTAATCTAGACTGAGCTAAGAACTATAAAGGAATTGATGCCTAATTGTGAAGGGAAAGGGGTGTATTTATAGGATTTTAGGAATGCGGTTCGGGTACCCGATCGGGTATATACACGGTACCCGACCGGGTATGTGTAAAACGTCCGATTCGAGATATACTCGGTCGAATTCGGGGTTAAAATCAAAGGCATACCCGATCGGGTGTGTCGGTGTACCCGATCGGGTATAGACACTCGATCGTAGTCAAAATCTTCCCTGCATGTTCCTTTGTCTTCGGATCTGATCCGATTTGAAATTTCAACAAGATACCCGATCGGGTATAGGTCATACCCGACCGGGTATAGACCAAAAATCAGGATCTTTATTTTGTCTTGTGATTTTGCACTTTCCTTCCACTTTTGGGGTTCGCTAACTGTCCTTTGAGTGATCATAGACCTGTTTGAGCTCAGAATAAACCTAATCTAAACATTTTACAAGTATTTAACAAACTAAACTATTACACCAAAAGTGTGTAATTTCCAAGGTAGAAATCAATCAAAGCTAATTAAAAATACAAACATAAACATGGAAATTACAAACGTATCAAGTCGCAGCTTTCCTAAAGCTATTGGGCAGCGCCCAGGGTCAAATTCGGGGCTGTCCGGGTAGTCTTCGGCACGTTCTAGGTTCACTTAACTTCTGTCAAAGGTGTTAAAAAAATTGCGAGCAAAAGGATTGTGCTTTAGATGCAAGAAACCATTCACACCAGGGCATGATTGCCCACTTAAGCAGTTACAGGTATGATAATTGAGGAGGATGAGGAGTTGGACCTCCAACAACATGATTATTGTGAGATAACCGGCCAGGAAGAAGCTCAAAAAGATCAGAGGTTTCGGAAGGAGATGGGGATATTTTCCAATCTATTCTATGACTGGAATTTTCAACCCTCGAACTATGAGACTTCGAGGGGTGGTAGCGGTATGCATGGTGACCATTCTAATAGACGGTGTTGCAAGCCACAACTTTATTGCTTCATCTTTGGTCTCCCTATTACGATTGCATCCGGACAAGATGGGCAGATTGAGAGTGCACCTAGGAGATGGGCATAGACAAGAGTTGGAGGGGTGTGTGAAGATGTCTTATCTCATTGCTAGGGTGTGATGTTAATGAAGATTGCTATGTATTTGTCTTGGGTGGGGTTGACATCATTTTGGGAGTAGCTTGGTAAGCCACGTTGGGAGAAGTACAGACAAATTGGGAAGCATTACCTATGAATTTCGAGTGCGATGGTAATCGAGTCGAGTTAAGGGGCGACCGGACGATTAATAAGAAGAAGTGTGCCTTTGGGTATCTCAAGGTTGAATACTTGGGGAATCCAGTGATGATGTTACTGGGATGAGTTATGAGTAAGGAGAGTTCTGCAAGCCAATTTCCAAACTTCAACCTCGAGGACAAGGTTGTTTATTTCATAGAAAGCAAGAGCTTGGGTGGGAGAAAGAGAGACAGAGGCCCCCGTGGATTTATTGAAGCCGGGGACAGGCTTGAGCCCACCTTCGTGGGAAGGTTACGGGCCGTTTAATTAATTTTATTCTTTATAATTTTCCTGATTTGTTTCCTATTTGGAGTTAATTAGGTTTTCATTATTTGTTTCCTATTTGGAGTTAATTAAGATTTTCTATTATTTGTTTCCTACTTGGAGTTCATTAGGATTTCTATTATTCTGTTTTCTATTTGGAGTTGATTGAGATTTATATGATTTTGTTTCCTAGTTTGAGAATTAGTAGATGAGTATTTAAATCCCTTGATAGAGTTCATTCTTGCCTATCAGTTACTAAAATTGGATTTCAGGCTATGGGTTCTAGGCAGCCGTTTATTGCGTTGATTATTAGTTTTTTCCCGATTCTCATCACTACCCCACTCTTGACACCAATGAAAATAAAAATTAATATATAAAGTCTTGGACTACTCTTCTTATCAGGTTGACCTTTTAAGATGGAATCCAAGATTTGATATGATATTAGAGCCGATTAAGTTCTAACGAGTATTAAGATCTTGGTAAACCTCGACAACGAGCACACAGACTACAAAATTCGTCTATTTGTTGTGGTACCTTCCCGGCCGCGTATGAAAATACAAACTAACATATAAACTCTTGGGCTACTCCTCCTATGATGTAGACCTTTTAGGATGAAATTCAAGATTCTCACATCTCCCTGCCTTAGTCCCCCTTTTATGTGTTTCCTTTCATTTAATCCTCGGGCTCATAAACGCTTATGTGGAAGCTCCTTTATTTTATGCCTTGTCTTTTGTTGTGGTATCAATGTTATTATCACGTCTCCTCATTTTTAGGTACTTGATGCACTTAAGGGGTCTACTTCTACTAGGCCCGCTATCCTTCCAATGTCAAACCCTACTAAAAATGGTATATCACAAAATAATATATAACCTTCGAAGTTAATTTTAGCTTGTTAGTAACTTAGTATTTCATTCTGATTGATTGCCTGTTTTTTGTTTTGGCTTAGCTGAATGCACACCTGAGGAAGCGTTTTCCATTGTTGGTGACAACATAATATTTGCAAGTGGCAGCCCATTCAAAGATGTGGATCTCGGTAAAGCCAATTTGCTAATAAAGTTTGATTGTTTGAACAGATGGCTACATTTAATGTATACTTCGAAGATCTATATTTTTTAATTGCCTGTAAACGTTGTAGGAAATGGACATGTTGGCCAATGCAACCAGGCAAATAACATGTTTCTTTTCCCTGGGTCAGCTACCAACCATTTATAGGACTCATGTTTTTCATAGATACCTGAGGCATTTAGTGTAATTAAACAACGTTAGTATATGTGTTCTAGGATTGGGCTTGGCACCCTTCTATCTGGATCTAGGATCATCTCAGATGGCATGCTACAGGCAGCAGCTGAGCGGTACTTTACTCCCTTCATCTTAATTTTTTTGAAAGTGTACTGTAATTAAATTGATTTGTTATGGCATGCCACAAGAAGAAGCTAGCGTGCTTCAATTTATTTTATCTTAATAAATTGTGCTGTAATTCAATTGATTTATAAATAAGATCGGGTGACGGGATTTGTTTGGATTCTTACCATGGTTTGGTTCAAAAGAGGGTAGGGAAAAAGTGAAGGAGAACCATGGATAATCATCATCATCATCATTACCCCAGTACCGCAAAGGCTCCCCACCTACGGTGGGGTAAGGGGAGGTCGAATGTACGCAGTCTTACCCCCGTATTAAAGCACAGAGAGACTGTTTCCGGATGACCCATAGTGAAAAGCGCGTCGAAAATTGCATAGGCTGACTGTTACTTCATAACAAAGAAGCGCAGACAGTTTAGTGAGCCATTTTGCTTTATTCCATCATATTCCCAAGCCAAAAAATAGTGAGTCTTTGACTCCATTGAAAATGATTGAAAGGAAGGAGAACCATGGATATTAAAAAGATTTTATGTTTAGTTAAATGGATGAGTGGTGAGAAATTATTTGTTAAGCAACACTATAACAAATATGATATTTTATGTACTTTTTGTATGAATTAGAAATTTAGTAATCTTTGTCTGAACAATAATGTAAGAATAATCTCAAGAAACAAAAGGGGAACATGAAATTAAAGAAAAAACTCCAGGAAGTGAGATATGAGGAGTTTGGAGGAGTCCATAGTGCCTCCACTTTCCTCCCCCCCATCCTTACTCGTCCATACAGACACACAACACCTCTCCCACTTTCCTCCCACTCCTCCAAATTCCTTCAACTAAACAACAACTTATTAGTGAAGTCCTTCATCTATTGGGTGAAGTTCCTCAATCCCCAATCCTTCCAATCCTCATTTCTTGGCATTCATTTTAAGAACTGTTTGGATGTACTAAGTAAACAATAAATCAAAGACATGGAGAAATCCATATTTGAAGAGTTGGAAGGTTTTATTTAAAGAAGTTCTTTGGAATCAATTGGTGGATTAACTTCTTTGAATCCAATTGATGGATTTATGGAGCTAGTTTAAAATCTAATAGGAGAGATCCACAAAGTATGATTTGATTGTTAGGTTTCAATATCCATAACCATCTTCTTGAATCACAGCCTAGCTTCATATATGACAGAGGAGGATGTGCAGAAAGGCATTATATATCCTTCAATATCAAGGTATATACTATTTCAGCAACAGTTTGGCACTTGAAATCGATTATTAAAGTTTACTTATTACTTTATTACACAACAGAGTATTTATAATGTTTATTCAAACTTTTACTTGAAACTAATACGGAGTATTAGTATTTACTTATGTTCTCAACCTTTTTGCAGAATACGTGACATAACTAAGGAGGTAGCTACAGCTGTGGTTAAAGAAGCAACAGATGAGGGTCTTGCTGAGGGTTATCGTGGAATGGATAGCAGAGAATTGAGACAACTTAACACGGTATGTGGTGGTTTTATTTTGTTTTTATGTCTTTCCACTGGCCAAGTTTTTATGAATTGTGTTAAGTGTGTCACTGTTTTAGTGAATGTTCGGCCCTACTACATGAAAGTCTAGATCAAAGGTGAAGATGAAGTAAAAGGTAGAATATTGAAATCCGGGAGGAAATGATAATTAATCATTAATGTTTGACAGACTAGGTGTAATGGTATATAAGTAAAATTGTAATCAAAATGCCTAAAAGAGTATAGAGGTTAAACTCCGTCCTAGTTAAGAACAGTACTATTCCCGATTTCCCGTAAAAGAGTAGGGCATGTGAATATGAAAGGCGAAATGAAGTACTAAGAATGTCATTTTAGTATGGTACAACATTTCAGTTACAGTCAACTTAGTCAAGGTATAAGCCAATATAAGCTATTAGCCTATTAATGGTGAAACTTACATATACCCCTAACACTCATTTCCCTATATTGTTTGAAGTAATTCACTTTTAGAAACATGACTGTCGATAGGCTAAGAAGGTTCTTGAAGCATGACTCATATATGAAATAGTTTCATTTGATCTATTTTTTCCATCTACAAAACAAAATAGTTTTGTACTAGATTATGCAGAGTAGATGAGATTGAATTATATCCTCTAGATGAAATTAGTTGCCAAAGACACATTTAGAAGGGATCCCGATCCTCTGCTTGATGATGGTGAACATCCTATGGTGTGGGGAGATGGAGGTCGGGAGTTGTCTGGTTCATGCGGATCCCAAGATGGTTGAGATCAGCCAAGCAGACGATCAGAATCCCTCTTAGAAGCACATTTACTATGTAAAATAATACCATGTGAGTTCAATTCTAGAATTTTGATACAAGGACAATTGGTGTGCAACGATGTCTGATCTGCAGGAACAAATAATGGAATATGTAAAGCACAATATGTGGTATCCAGATTATCCAACACTGATTTACAGAAAAGATTAATTGTTTGTCCATACAAAGCTTCACTATTTTTGAATTAAAAGAAATTAGTGGCAAGATGCCGTCTGCAGTGGTTCGAGATCCAACCTTCTTGAGGAGGAGAAGGGAAGGAAGGTATTACGTCCAGTTGCAGTGTCAATGTTGAGCATATTACTGTCACATAATGCTGAGGGGCAGTTTTGAACATTTCGTGATGGATTTATGTATGCTCTATCGATCCTTTCATGCTCAAGGCTGTAAACCTGTAACATTATACGTTTCCACCAATAACCTGCACTATAATATACTTCGTCTAATATTACATCCGGGCGTCCCAAAAAATTGGGAAGTGTAATTTTCTATATATATTCATATGCTACAAATGTCATAGAACATTTATAATAAGTACAGTTTATTTTATAGTCTCTTTGTGCTTTAGCACAGGGGTAAGATTGCTTACATCCGACCTCTCTTATGTTGTTGGTGTAGTAAGTTCTTTGGTGCCTTATGATAATTTGTTTATAAGTTGCATGAAAAATAGCTTCGCCTAATAATAATGTAATATTTTTATGTAGGTTAGTGGAAAATTTATTTTCTTAAACTCTGTTGTGAGAACAAAAAATTTAGGGGCTGTTTACTAACAGAGTTATTTTTCAGAAAACTGAAAAACTGGAAAAAGAAAAATAGAAAACGTGTTTACCAAAGAAAATTGCTGGATAACTGGAGAAAGGAAAATAGAAAAATGTGTTTACCAAATCGTTTTCCAAAACCAAAAAATGAGATATCTCTTTTTTTAACTATATATATACAAAGGATATTAAATATATATAATACTCCGTATAATATATATAGTTGAAATATATATATTTTAATAAATATACGATATATATATATATATATATATATATATATATATATATATATATATATATATATATATATATATATATATATATATATATATATATATATATATATATATATATATATATATATATATATATATATATATATATATATATATATATATACACACACACACACTATATAGTTAGTGACATTTTCATTGTTGTTACATTTTGATCATTTAACAATTTTTTTGGGCAGTGGGTGCATTTAGTAACATTTTAATAGTAGTAGTCACATTTTAAATTGATGTAGTTACTATATTTTCGTAGTTGTTAGTGGTTGCGTTATAATCAGTTTTTTTTTTGGGTATTTAAATTGCAGTTACTATTTTTACTGTCTTTTTGTCAATTAGTTGTTAATAAATTTGTAATTCAATTTTATTGACATTGCAATCTGTAATTTGTATTTTTTTGTAACATTTTTAAGACAATGGTCCGGGCTAGATAATCCGTTGATATAGGTAATCTCCAACGCAATCGATCAAAGAAGATTGCGAGAGGTCATCCTTCGGGGCGGTCGGGGCAGTTGAAAGGTAAACGACAAATAGGGGCAACATCTGCGTTCCAATCACGCGATGATTGGACGACCGGTTATGATCGTAGAGATGCGATGACCCATGAGCGGCTTTGAGATCTCTTGAACCAAAATCGAGGCCAATATTTCCATCAACTAAACATCCCTGACATTGAAGGGAGTTGGAGGATGATGACGCCGAGGAGGATATTGGAGGAGGCAGCGGGAATGTGGGGCACCAAGGCGGCGGGGATGAGTAACAAGGCCACGGGGATACCCCTGACGAGGAGGAGCATGACAAGAAGGAGCATGGAGGCGGCGTGGGTTCATCCAAAGCGATCCAAAAACATAAGTCTAAACTAAAATCTCCTCTTTTTTTAGATCATTTTGAGAAGGTCAATGATCCGACAGACGGGAAGTATTACACAAATTGCCAACATTGTCCGCAAATATTGTGCATGGGTACTTCGGGGGGCTATGGCATGGTGCAAAGGCACTTAAACGCGAGGCACCCCACGGAGGTGACGAAAATGAAGGGCAAGGAGACGCAAACACAAATATCGAGTTTTGCAAATGATAACCCTTTGGTAATTTCTCTTACAATGATGAGGTTCATTTAAAAGGAGTTAATTTGTAAAGGAAATTTGTCTTTTATTTTTTCTGAAAGTCTTGCTTTACGTGCTTATGTTCAAGGTTCTTTAAATTCACAATTTTGAAACTATAACCGCAAAACAATTAAAAAACAAGTTATTAAACAATATCTTTTGGAAAAGAAAAAATTAATTTATTTTTTTGCAAACTTTAATGGGCGTGTGACTGCTTGTAGAGATATATGGGAAGATACTTATCATCACTTGTATTATTTGGGTGTTACTGCACCTTAGATTGATGATGATTGGCAAATGCATAAACGAGTTATCGCTTTTCGAGATTATAATGAAAGGCACACTGATATGCACTAATTAGTAGTGCATAAATGTATGTTTTTATGTTTGATTTGTGTGGATTGTTTACCATTTTATTTAGTTTGTAAACATTTGTGTGATTTTAGTTGTAATTGTGTTTTAGTTTTCATTTGTAAGTTGTAAAGTAGAGTTAGGATTTTTGGTGTTGGAAAGGAAGACTTTGAAGTGAAGAAATAGAAGATTTGACTGCCCAGGAGCAAATACCCGACCGGGTATAACCTTTCACCCGGTCGGGTAAGAAGTGAAAACCGGACATGCATGGAAATTGCATGGCCCGGTCGGGCCCACTACCTCACCTGGTCGGGTGATAAGTGACCGGGGACAATCCGGCGTGCAGAAACACAAGAACATGGTGGATGATCTGATTTTGATCGGTACCCGGTTGGGTGGGCACCATACCCGGTCGGGTACCCGACCAAAGGTGTTGAAAAACACCTATAAATAGCACACATTTTCTTCACTAATTCCCATTCCTTCTTAGAATAGTATTTCTTTATATATTTTTTAGCATGTTTAGTCTCTAAATGAGGAGCTAAACTTCCATTTCTTGGTTTTGCTCTTGAAGTTTGTTGATTATTAAAATTGTGAGTTATTTTCTTAACTTCTTTCCTTGAATATTAATTCTTCCCTTAATCTATTTATATATTAATGTTGGGGAGTGTTGCTAAGGTGACAATTAGTCAACATCTCAATATTAATTATTACTAGAAACGATCAACGAACCGATGATTAATCGTTGATGGTTTCACAAGTAAGTAACTGCGGTTTATTAATGCACGGTCGTGGTTAATAAACTTAAGAGGGATTAATTTTGTTGGTTAAACCGAAACCGTTGTGCTAAGGTTATCAATCTCAATTGATTTGATCAAGGAGTTCAAAAGATTAAATGCTACTATTAAATCGGTATAAGGTGTTGTTCTATATTTGATTAATAGTAAGGGTTATTAATGAACGGTCGTTGTTAATAACTACCCTCGATGAATTGGATATACTCCTCGATTGAGTATTCGAGAGTGGATAAGTTATAGATATAACAAGGATCGACTAAATATATCAACAAGTGGAAAGTAGCAATGCCAAGTTCTTTTTATCTTTGAATTAAAACTCATATTAGTCGTTCATCTTTGTATTAAATTAATTAAATTACTCAATCCTAAAAACCCCCTTTTATTTACTACTTCATAAAAAGAAAAGTATTCATTTCCCTGTGGATACGAACTCTACTATGCTATACTACGTATAAATGTTAGTATTGAATTTATTTTGACGCACTACGACAAAGTGTCCGTCACACACCGTTGATAATATATATATTCTCATGGAACGTATTTTAATTGAATAGTATTTGATTGATAAGGTGTTCGCTATTGGCTTTGATAATGCTACTAAGAGTACCGCTGCATTAGGAAATGTGATGGAGAAAGTTAAGGGGGATATTAGATTGATTTGGGGTAGTAATTCACTGCAAATGCAATGGCGTGCTTATTTGAAGTCCAAAGGTGTAAGGTATTGTGCTTTTCCTAAAGATCTTTCTAATCGTTGGAACAATACTTATAATTTAATTGTTATGCTTCTTAGATTTAAAGATCATTTTCCCACTTTCATGAAAGAAACTTATAATTATATTATAGAACCGGTTGAGATCGACACAATGCAAAAGATTTGCAACGTTTTAGTTTATTTTAACAACGCTACTCAAACTTTTTTCCCATGTGTATAAACCAACTAGCAACCAATTTTGTATAGAAGCTGTTAATCTCGTCACTGCTTTTAAAGAATTTTCTCAATCTACTTATGTACATTATTTTTGTGATCACATGAAAGAATTTTTTAAAAATATTTTGCCTACATTCTGCCTATTTATTCTATTGCTTTCTGTCTCTATCCTCGTTTCAAACTTTCAAATTATCAAACATTTTTAGAATACTATTATACTGATTTCTACGGTCCATTCTCTATGTATGAAGACATACCTATAAATCCTCAATCCCAATTCAACGAGGTTAGTAATCTTTCACGCTTTATTTAAAGGAAAATGTTTTTTTAAATCAATAATATCTACTCTTTTGAAAAAAAGTAAATCAACTCGTGCCGTTGCACAAAGCTCGATTAACGAGCTCTCTTTATATCTAATATTTCCTGTTGAGTTTAAAGAAGCAGACGACTTTGATATTCTCCAATGGTGGAAGAGCCATGAAAGGATGTTTCCGGTTTTATAAAAAATGGCCAAATAAGTGTTGTCGATGTCAGTTTCCACTATTGCCGTGTGATAAGTCCGTATTTAGACACACATTTGATGCGTGTTCAGGTTGGATTTTGATGGTTTTCCTAGCTTTAAGATGTTGCAAGTCTCAATTTTAGCTCAAGTTGTGATTACCAGGCATTGAGTCGAGTTTTGTTGCATTTGAAGTCAAATTGAAGAAGTTAGAGTCCGGCAATCGGCGCTTGAGAGACAATCGGGAGGAGTTAGAGAGAAGCCAAGAAAGATTTGAGAGATTTGGAGGTCACCGGGTGATTCACGACGAAATTTTGATGAAGTAAGAGCATTTGGATTGACCCCGTTTGCATGCGGGAGCGTTGAGGCAAGAAAACAAGAAAAAGGAGAAAAAAAGGGGACGCACGGTCGTGCGTCTGGTACGCATGATCGTGCGTCGAATAAGAAGTCACGAAGAACTGTCTGCCTGCTACGCACGATCGTGCGTAGCCAGGTACGCACGATCGTGCGTAGCCCCGAGTTACACGCGGTCGTTTCCCACATCGACCAGAATTGTGATTTTTCCCCTCTTTTCTATAAATAAGGCCTCCCTAACCCTTTTTAGGGGGGACGAACATTACGGAGAGGCCTAGGGACGAATTTAACACTTTTTTTGCGCTATTTTCTTCCAAGACCCTGGGATTATTTGTAAGTTCATCTTTTTAATTAATGACAATTTATTCTATTCTTCCCAATTTTGTTGATTCTTTAATTATGAATTGTGAGTAGTTTAATTAGGGATTTGGGATTCATGAAGGGGTTAATCATGATTGATGGCTAGATTCTTTTCGATTTAATTGCATGAATGCCGTTTAATTTGTGTTTG